TTATTTTATTTTTATTTTTATTTTTATTTTTATTTTTTTTATTTTTTTTTGGGCTCATTTTTTTTTTTGTATGTTTACATGGCACAGTGGAGGGGGGACCGGGCGGCAAACCAAGGAGTTGGAGTTGCTACCGCCCGCCCCCCCCCCCCCCCTCATCCTTCGCGTTGTTTCCTGGTGGTGGTGGTGGTGGTTGGGCCGGCCTGTAGGGGGGGGGCAGCCTCCCCGATGTTGAAGTCTGCGCCGCCCCCGCCCCACAGGCCGGCCCGTCGAACGTTGTCCTGCAGGTATATGGGGGCCCGGGGGGCGGGCAGCTGCTCTCGGTGTTGAAGTTAGAGCCGCCCGCCCCCACGGTCGGCCCCCCGCTCCTCGTCGGTGCTGTGGCCGGCCCACGGGGCGGGCGGCAGCGCCGGAGCCGGAGACTGCGCCGCCCCCGCCCCGCAGGCCGGTCCGTCGTTAGAAGATGTTGGTGTTTTGCCCTGGGGGCGGGCGGCAGCTCTCGGTGCTGAAGTTAAGCGCCGCCCGCCCCCCAGGCCGGTCTTGTTCTTGGTGTCGGTCCCGTAGGGCGGGAAGCAGCCCCGCTATCGGGGGCTATGCCGCTCCCCGACCCGCAGGCCAGTCCGCCGATCTGACAGTATGAGCCCGAGAGGCGGGCAGCACTTCTGGAGTTGAAGGTGGTGCCGCCCCACCTCTCAGGCCAGCCTGGCGTTCGCTATCGCTGTTTTTTTATTATCTTTTTTTTTTACATTTTTATGATTATTTTTATTTTTTTGTGGGCTTTTTTTGTTTTTTTTTTGTTTTTTGTTTTTTTTTGTTTTTTTTTTTCGTTTTTTTTTGCCTCTTTTTTTAAACTTTGAGAAACACACATTTTCAAAGCACGCATTTCCATACACATTCATATCACACAAAAAGCTTTACTTCAAAACATTAAAATGTCACATATATGTCACGCATGTCTTTTTTTTTCTTCTTCCATTTTTTTTTTTGCTATTTTTTTCCCTCTCTCTCTCTCTTTTTTTTCTTTTCTTTTCTCTCTTCATGCATTTTTTTCCCCTCACTCTCTGTCTCTCCTCTAGCTTGTGAGAGGAGGGATGACTGACTTTCTGTCACCTTGCGGTACATCGCGTGAATGTGCCATGGTGCCAGAAAGTTACTTATAACATGTCTTGCCTCTTCGTGGAGGAAGACTTTCTGTATTCTTATACTTGAGTTTCTCCCTTTTTTTTAAAGGATTTATCTCCATTTAAATGGAGATGTTTTAGATTTGATTTTCTAGACCAGTTTGCAAGAGAAAGTCGAAAAGAAGATTCAATAATTGAGGATAATTATCTCCGAGAATATTTGTTAAGTTTAGGGGGATTTTGATGGTATTGCTATAGTTAATAATTGTGTGTCTTTCTTGGTTGTAGATTGGGCAGTCTAATAGTAGATGTTTAACTGTGAGTCGAACATTGCAATTAGGGCACTGTGGGGGATTTTGATTTAGAAAAATGAAAGAGTGTGTTAGTTTTGTATGACCGAAACGTAGTCTGGCCAGGCATCTTTCTCGTCTTCTTGATGTTTGGTGGATTGAATTCCATGGTTCTATTTTTGGGTGTATTTGTTTTAAGGCTGTGTTGGTTTTGTCCCAGAATATTTGGTTGATCGCTTTTAATTTTTTAGGTAATTTTGTGAGAAAGTCATCTGGATTTGGAGGTATGTTTGTGATGTTTTCTAAAGTGAGAGCTTCTTTAGCTAATTTGTCTACATAATCGTTAAGAGGGATGCCAGTGTGGGAAGGGATCCAGAGAAGTATCGGTAGCTGGTTTAATGTGCTTTTTATTTGAAAGATATTTGTAATAAGGGGATGATATTGTGATATGTTTGTAGATATTGATTGGAGGGCTGATAGTGAGTCGGAGATAATTATCGCTCGAGTTATATTATTGTTTTTGATTTTTTGAAATGCTGCCTTTATTGCAAAGAGTTCGGCAGAGAAGATTGACGTACCGTTAGGCAGTCTGGCTCTTACCGTCGTGTTAGCGCGTGCTCCTGTACGACTGATCGTCGCCGCCGCTGTAAGTTCGTTTATTTTGCTTCCGTCTGTGTAGAAGTGGGTGTAGTTTTGGAATTGTGCCATGAACTCGTTGAAAAGGGATTGTACTTCGATGTTGCTGTAGGAGGATTTCTTGTTATCGGGGAGAAGGAAGAGTTTTGGGTATTCTTGGGCCCACCACGCCACCGGGCGCTGTGTAGGTGTGATTGTGGGGAGTGTGATATTCAGTGTTCGTGAATGTTTTGTGATGCTTGTACCGTAGGCAAATCTACGTTGCTTTTTCTTGTTGATGAATCGTGGATGTGACCGGAATCTGATTAGTGGGGTGCATGGGTGGTTTGGGATCTTTTGTATTTTATAGAAGTATCTGAATAGTGAAATGATTCTCCGTTGTGCCAGTGTTTCAATGTCTGTATATACATGTAGGCTGGTTATTGGTGTGGTGGATAATGCTGCCGTGGAGATTCTAAGTGCTGAATTTTGGATGACGTCTAATTTTCTAAGGTGTGTCTTGGCTGCGTTGTCAAAGGCGATGGCTCCGTATTCAAGGATAGGACGGATTAAGGACTTGTACAATTTAAGTAGTGTGTGGGTGTCTCCTCCAAAGTCGGTGCCTGATAGTGCTTTTAAAATGTTTAGTCTTTTGGATGCTTTAGTGGCGGTGTTGGAGATGTGTGTCTGGAAGGTTAGTGGGCGATCTTAAGTTATGCCAAGGAATTTTGCTTCTTCAACTATTGGAATTTCGTGTCCGTTGATGGATAGGGGTGTGGGACGGTGTGGTTTATGGTTGCTAAAAAGGACGCATTTGGTTTTCTCGGGAGATATATGTAGGTTGAGCGGTTGCAGTGCTTGGTGAACATGCTGGAGGGCTTTGTCGAGTTGTTGTAGGGCATTGTTTTGGTGTTTCGAGGTTGTCCAAATGGCGATATCGTCTGCATAAAGTGCTATTTTGGAGGGGGATGGGACATTTTTTAGGGTTGAGTTTAGAGCTATGATAAAGAGGATTGGGCTAAGGACGGAACCTTGCATTAATCCTGATGTGGGAGTTTTGGGGTTAGATAAGGAATTCAGGTATTTGACTTGGAAGGATCTTCGGGTTAGGTAATTGTTGAGATAATGTAGGAGGTGTCCGGATATTTTGTGCTGGAGATAATTTAGAAGAAAAGAGGTGTTTAGGGTGTCATATGCGTTTTTAAGGTCGAGGAATAGAGCTGCAGTGGTTCGGTTCATGTGTAGACTGTGTTTTATGTCTGCTGTGATGGATACTATGTTGTCTAATGTGTTTTTGCCAGGGAGGAAGCCGCTTTGCTGTGGGATGATCAGGTTTTGGGTCTGAATGATGAAGAGGAGGCGGTGTTTGATGATACGCTCAAAAATTTTGTGGATAGTGTTTGTTAAGGATATTGGTCTGTAGCTCGATAAGGAGGTCGCGTCTTTTTGTGGTTTCTGTATTGGAATGATGTGTGCTTGGAACCATGTCTCTGGGTATGTATGTGTGGTAAATGCGTGGTTTAGTGCGTGGAGTAAAAGTGTTTTGCCCCTTTTTCCTAAGTGTTTGTAGAACTGGTAGTGAATTTCGTCTGGGCCTGGTGCTGTGTTGCCGGTTCGGTTTAGTGCGTTTTCTAGCTCGGTGAGGGTGAATGGTAGATTGTATGGGTGATGGTCTGTGTGGTGTGGGATATGTAGAGGAATAGGAACTGGACATTGTGATGAAATTTCGTTGTAATGGTTGGCAAATTGTTGGGAAATTTCGTCTGGTGTTGTGTATGTGATGTTGTTGTAGATTATGTATGAAGCTTTGTTGATAGGTGTTTTGTATCCCTTGAAAGCTTTTATAGTTTGCCAAATTTTTGATAGTGGAGTGAATCTATTGAATGAGCTTGAAATGTCTTAAAAAGATGATTTTTTAGCTTCCTTAATTATTTTACGGCACCTTGCTTTTGCTTTTTTGTAAACCAGAAGATTTTCCTCTGTTCTGTGTTTTTCGAATCTGTGCCTTGCCGTATTTCTGAATGTAATGGCGCGTTGGCAGTTGTAGTCCCACCATGGGGCGGATTTGGGACGAGGATGGTTTGTTTTGGTTTTTGGTATATGTTGATCGGCTGCTTGTGTGATAATGTCTGTTAGTTGGGAGGCTGTTGGGTTGTTTGGAGTTGATTTGTCAATGTGTTCGGTGAATGCTGTCCAGTTGGCTTTTTTAAGGTTAAATCTGGTGATTCTGTTGGGAGGTGTGGTGGAGTGGTGTATTGTGATGTGTATGGGGAGGTGATCAGAACAGAGAGGATCTGGGGATGTGTGCCATGTTGTATAGAGTGTAAGTGTTGGTGATGTGGCTGAGATGTCCGGAGTTGTGTCGTTGTGTTGTATTTGTCTTGCTACAGGGAAGGTCTGGGATCCGTCATTGCTTAGATTTAAATTTTGTCTGTCTAAAAGTTCGCTGAAGGCTTGGCCTTTTGAGTCCGGGTTTTGTCTGGACCTATCCCAAAGTGGATGGTGCGCGTTTACATCACCACATGATATTATGGGAGTAGTTATGTTATTTAATATTCTTTCAAGGTCAGTCGTAAATTCATCAAAAACTACCCCTGGAGGGGCGTAGATGTTAACTATTGTTATGTATCGTCTAGTTGTTTTAATTTCTATAGCTTGAATGTCAAAGTTAGTTGCTAGGTTAATAATTTTGAAGGGGATGTGATTCTCGATATACGCGCAGACTCCGCCTCTTCTCCTTCCTCCCGGATTTGTTGAAGCGTCTTTTCTGATAAGAGTGTAATTTCGGAGATTGAAGTTGTATGGATCAGTTGGTTTTAGATGAGTTTCTTGGAGGCAGTAAATTGACTTTTGAAATTTGATAAGTGCCTGTTTTAATTCATGCCAATTTTCTGGAATACCCTGGACGTTCCACTGCAGCAAGGACGTGTCAGTGTAGTGTCTGGCGTGGTGGGGCGTTATGCACATGTGGGACTACTTAGTGTTTCTGTCTGAGAGTGTAAGTGTGTGACTCGGCGGGTGCCGACTGGAGTCTGGTGCGGCGTGGGCGGCCCGGCGGGGTGGTGGGGCTGGGCGTGGATGAGTGGTCGGTAGTGGTGTTGGAGTCGGTGAGGTTGGAGTCGGAGTTGGATAACCCGCTACGGACCGGCGCCTGACTCTCGTCTGTATCCTTCGGCTGGGAAGCCGGGGGCGCCGGGCGCTCGCGGGGAGGTGGAGGAGGTGCAGGGGTGCCGTGAGAGTCGGCACCGGCGGCCCGAGGGGGCCGCGGCGGCACAGCAGGGGACCTGGCCGCGCTAGCCGGTCGGGGAGGGGGCGGAGGGGGAGCGTTGGGAGTCGACCGGCCGGAGGAAGAAGGGTAGCGGGGGGTGGGCGGGCGAGGTGGGATGTAGTTAGGCTTCTGAGGGAGAGGGGGGTACTCAGAGTGGTTGATGGGGGGAGGACGGCGGACAGAGTCAGAGTTGGAGGGGATGGTGGTAGGGTCGGCGTCCGGGTGGGTCGCCACGTAGTGGCGGGCGTCCCTGGGCTCCCAGCCCTGTCGGATCAGGAGGGACACCTGGCACTCTGCCAGCCACCGAGGGCAGCCGGGGTCGTTCGAGGGATGCTCGTCGCCGCACCCGGCGCAGCACACCGAGGGGCTGGAGCAGGATGGGGAGTCGTGCCCCTCCTGGGCACAGGAGGAGCAGACGGGATGGGGGGCACGACAGTGCTGCTGGCGGTGGCCATAACGCTGGCACCGACGGCAGCGGAGGGGTTTGGGCGGGATAGGGCGGACGGGGAAGGACAGGTACGCGGCCCTGACGGAGGCCGGCGGTTGGGGCGTGTCAAAGGTGAGGATAAGGATTTTGGGAGAGCGGGGAGGGCGATACACCCCGCGGACTCCCACGCGGCGAAAGCCCTCCTCCAGCTCCGGGATAGAGAGAGGTTGGAGGGATGGGGCGAAGATGGAACCCTGGCTCTGGTTGAGGTGAGGAGGGACCCATGCCCGGACCTCCGCCCCCGCGACCCGGGTGATCGCCAGCAGCTGCTGACGCTCCCCCGGATCGCAACGGACCAGCAAGTCGCCACCGCGGAGCGGACGGGCGCTGAGACAGCGTCCGACCGCCCCGACGAAGGCGTCCTCGACGGCCCAGGGCGAAAGCCCGGACATGGGTGACCCGTCCAGGAGCCGGAAGCGGATGAAGGATTGGGCGGAAGGACCGGGGTTAGGGAGGTGGGAGGACATGACAGGCATGTTGGTGTAGAGGTGTGGGTGTTGGGAAGGTGGTGTTGTAGGGTGGTGCTGTGGGTGGATGTCAGTGGTGTGTGCTAGTGTGTTGTTGTAGGTGAGAACGTGCTTGTGGAAAAGGCAAGTGCGAGGATTACGTTAAGTGTAGAGCGTGTTACTTACGTTGGCGGCGAAAATCTCGATCGTAGGGAAGCGCTGACAAGACGTCGAAAAGCGGATACGCTGCAATGCGTCTTCATGTCATCTGTAAGGTTGTAGTGGTATCGCAGCGATGTCGCTAGTCGCTACCAGCGGCTGCGCACCTCCGTCTTGAGGATGTAAGGTCCTTAGGGATGCCACTGTATAGAGACTCAGTGATGTCATACGATTCCGCCACTTAGGAACCGTACGTACCGCCACCTATCGGACAGCCATTGAACTAATAGTTTACAGCTTGTACAACAGATGTCACTATTTTGGATGATACGGTCTTGGATGCTGCGGTGCCAAAAATGTTTTTTGGATGATACGGTTTTGGATGCTGCATCCTTGGATGTTTCACTCTTGGATGCTGCAATTCCTCGTCCTTGGTTGCTGCCAATTTGGATAATACGATTTTGGATGCTGTGGCCCTGGATGTTGCAGTTTTGGATGTTTCGCTCTTGGATGCTCTGAATCATCCCTAAGGGGTCGGTTTTGGATGTTATTTGGACGTTTTGATCGCTGGATGCCAAGGTTTTGGGTGTTGCGTCCCCTGGATGCTGCGCTCTTGGATGCTTCAATACTCACCCCCAGAAACTTCAGTGGACGAGCTCACACAAGTTTTTTGCGGCTCCGACGCTCGTCACTGAACCCACAAATCCAGCAAAACACACGCACAAGTTCCTCAAAGTGCCACTTGCCTCCATTGAGAAAAAAACCCTAAAGATTTTGCTTTTGGGTCATATACGAGTATGACCCAAGCGGCATTAATGGGTTAAGTAGGTAGGTATAGGCAGGCATCGGTAAAATCCTTTTTGAAAGGATTGCATTCCCAATCCACATTCCTAGTGCCGAAGTGGATTGCATTCCTACCCGCAATCCCCTTTTTTCACTTGGATTGTGATCAAATCCGCAATCCTTTTTTGCAATCCTTTTGTATTATTATGTGCACTAGTGGATCTGGGGGAGGGAGGGGGGCATAAGGCCATGCCTCCATCCCCAAATCACCCATTTCTAGTACCTAGTCTTGCGAGTAATTCCTATCTAAGGCACAGGTATTTTATGGGAAATATTTTTTGCCTCAAACAGTGGTGGCGGAATAGGGGGTGCAGGGGGTGCAGCTGCACCCCCATCGAAAAACATGGGGGTGCAAACATATCTTTTTGCACCCCCAAAATCCGTACAAGGGGCCCATCGCACCATCCAATACATTTTCTCCTGAAAACCAGTGATCGGGAAACGAACACTGATGTGGAATCATCCGGGATGTTCAATTATGGTCAGGAGCGCCCCATGCTAGTCTTTGGGGCCCCCACACCGGCTAGAAGTGTCCCGAGCCGCATTTGGTGCTCCATGCGGCATCTGAGGGCCGCCACGACGGCCTCAGAGGGGCCCTCTGATGATGAATTTTATGACGATCTCTGAGGGCTCCCACGACGACCTCTGTCCCCTGGGGCCCTACAACGGCCACTAAGGGCCCTCATGACGACCGCTGAGGGTCCCACAGAGACTCCAGGGCCCCAAGGAGACTCCAGGGGCCACGCTGGCCTCTGAGGGCCCTATGACGGCCTCTGAGGGCCCTTACGATGATCTCTGAGGGCTCCCACGACGACCTCTGTCCCCTGGGCCCTATAACGACCACTAAGGGCCCTCATGACGACCGCTGAGGGCCCCACAGGACTTCAGAGGCCCCGCTGGCCTCTGAGGGCCTCTACGACGGTATCTGTGGGCCCATTTGGCTTCAGACGGCCCAGCGACGGCCTCTGAGGGCCCCAACACAACCAGGCTGCAGGGGCTTTGATGGCATCTGAGGGCCCTGCAACGGTCTATTGAGGGCCCTAACGATGGCCTCTAGCGGTCTTACCAAGGCCTCTGAGAGCCCTGCAAAGGTATCTGAGGGCCCATGAAGACCCTCACTATGGCCAAGGACCCTCATGACGACCTCTGATGATCCTCTCGAAGGCTTCTAAGGGCCCTCACAACAACTTCTGAGGACCCCAGGACGGTCCCTGAGGGGCTGAGGGCCCTGAAGACGACCTCTCTGGGCCCTCACGATGGTCTCTAAGACCCAACGCAAGCTCCAAAGGCCCACGCTGGCGTCTGAGGGCCCCACGACGGCCTCTGAGGGCCTCGACGCAGGCAGGCTCCAGGGGCTATGCTGACCTCTGAGGGCCCTCTTGACACACACACACACAAGTATTTTTATTGTCTCATTGACAAATGCAAACACGTTTACATGGCGGATCGGCGCAAAAGCTAACGCTTAAGTCGAGGCGCCTCTCCAAAGCTAAACAATTGCAACAGAATTTAACAAGATAATAAATCATGGATCCACTAACACAGCCAGCAGGGGACAGAACCACGCCGACCCCGCCAACTACCCACGAAGCATCCAACTGGAATAGGGAAAGCCCGCTCGGTCCCGCGCACAGGGCGGCCACCGCCGGCTCAGATGAGTGATGTGAGTGTGTGTGCTGGAAGGTGGTGTGTGGCTGTGAGTGTGTATACTCGTACTTGTGTCAATGTTACGTTGTGTTAGTAAATCGCCTGGTGTTTTGAATGTATGTTTGTAAGTGGCGAGCCACATGTACACCCACCATGCTTGTGACGTTTCTATTAAAGGGACTGTCCCACCTTAACATTAGATTTGAGTTGAGATAGCCATCTTGATGGACGTTCTTTGAAAATCAGTGCCGTGAAAACCGTTTCTCCAGCAATTACTTCATCGCAAAGAAATTTGAGTTTGATTTTGACATCTGTGCAAATAAGTGCCACAATGTATTGGTATCGGCACTTAAATCTGATGACGTCATCAGGCTTTCGAACGTCCGTTAAATGTTTGACTAAAACGTTTTGTAGCACGCGGTGGTATATGCTGCGTTGCGCGCAACAAATGCCGCACTTTTAAATAAAGTCGCTAGGAACAGCGGAGATCCCAAAAAGTAAACAAAAGTAAAAGTCTAATATCTTGAAAACCGGTGAATATTTTTCGGTGAAATTTGGTAGATATTCGTTTTCGCTCTTTCTGAACCGAGCGACATCACTTTCATGCCAATTCATAAACTTTTTTAAAGGTGGGAGGGTCCCTTTAACCCGCGCACCGACGGGGGGGGGCGGATATCCGCCCCCCTGAGGTTTTTCGCGAATAGCGGTAAAACCGCGGCGCGTAGCGCCGCAAAATTTAATACGACTATTCTCTCATCAATTTTACACATGGTGTGCAAGTTTGAACCTCCTAACTTTTAAGGTCAGGTCACCAGGTCACTTTGAATGACCCAACCTCAAGTCACTTTTTTGCAACTTGTTCACCGTGCCAGAGCTACAGTAGATGTCGGAGGCCTTTGAAAGTCGCAGGATGTTATTAGGTCATTAGTATCTACAATTTGTATATCTCGGAATTTTGATGTCGGTGACCTAAGGTCAGGTCAATTTCGCGACCTCCCCACTATAAGTCAATGGGGGGAAAATCAACTCCCTGTTTTTACCACTAAAACGCGTCGGAATGGCCCCATATACCATACGTGACTTCATATACGATCAATCTTCACTACCTTGAGGTCTGTTTTGCTGTTGGGCAGCTGTAAGGTCATGTGACGTCATCAAAGGTCACCAAAGGTTTTTTGCCAATAACTCCGTACAGGTACAAGATACAGCCGCGCGGATGGTCTCATTGTGTTCAGCTCGTCAAGACGCATCGAATGATATACATGATGACCTCGAGGTCACGTGACCTGAGGTCAACCTTTGACCTTGACCTTTCGAGGTCAACATATATATCATTCGATGCGGATTGAGAAGAGGATCACGATGATGCCCTTAGTTTGTTCCTATCTTGACTAATTCGAAAGTTATTCGAGAAAAACTCTCTATATCTAGCGCCGCCATTTTGACTTTTTCGACCCCTGTGACGTCATCTTTGACCTGACCTGAAAATGACCTTAGCAAAAATTGTAGACCTTGTCCGTGCGTATCCGATGCCGTTTACCGCTTGTCGCTATCTTGCTTCGTTCTCGAGATCTCAGGGGGGGCGGTCATCCGCCCCCCCCCCGTCGGTGCGAAGTTGGCGCAGACCCCCGTCGGTGCGCGGGTTAAATAAAAGGATGTCAAGCTTACTTTTTCCTGAGAGATTATCAAAGTTTGGAACGATAGCCTGCATGACACCGAACAGTTGCGATCGGGCTGTTTGGTACAGAGGACAGTCCATTATGTAGTGAGTGGTTGTTTCATTTGGGTGACCGCAAATGCACGCTGGAGTAAGGACGTTTGGGTGTTGCGTTCGGAATTGATGTGCGTTCAGAAATGTTTGTCCGATGCGCAGTCTAGTGTGGTGTGTGTTTGCTGTCTTTGTGCCGACTGAATGTGACAGTGGAGGTTCTGTTGTCCCAAATCGCTGCCAGACTTCACGAGAGAAATCAGAGCGGGATTGAATGGCACGCATAGCAGCAGGAAGAAGATTCCACTGCCTGATAGTTGCTGGGATAAAGGATCGGTGGAAGGATGTGAGTCTAATCGGGGGAAGCGATAGTAGGGTGGCGTTTCTAAGTTGAAGTCCTGTAGCACCCTGTCTTGTGTCAGTCAAAATGTTGGTGATATATGTAGGTAGGGGAGGATTGTTATTATAAAGTCTATGAAAGAAAATGAGTCTGTGAATGAGTCGTCTCGTTTCCAGTCTTTCCCACCCTAAGTCATTCAAAAGTGCGTCTGTCGGTGATCTGTATAGTGCTCCAGTAACGAGTCTTGCACATCGATTTTGAAGTCTCTGGAGGCGGATTTTGTCTTTGATTGTCAAGTTGCCGTCGTAAATGATGTCACAGTAGTCAAAGTAA